GCGCAGGCTGGGCAAGCCCGGGACGGCGAAGGGGGCTGAACAGCGAGCGGTCACTCCAGCAACCTGTGGCTGCCGGAGAAGGCGGCGGCGGGCCAGCGAGCCACCCAGAGCGCCGGGGAGGTGGCTCTGTAGGCGCGCGCCGAGCCTTGGCTCTTTTTTATTTTTACTCTCATGCGTATGATGATAGTATTCTCCGGAGGTGAAGGGGAGAGGCGGCTTCTTGCTCTGGTGGACCCCGTCTCTCGGGAGTCGCTGATAAACCTTGTCCACCCATTTCGGAGGGACGGGCTGGGGTGGGGGGTGCAGCGCCTCGGTAGGATGGGCAGGTGGCGGCTCCCAGCGCGCAGAAGAGAAAATCTCCGCTTTCAGTCATACCCAGCCCCCTCTCCAGGCTCTGCCTCCCATCCCTCTCACTTGGGAGTGATGGGGCACCTAGGCTGCATCTCTGGTGAAGTGTAGAGCAGTAGAGAGGCCCGGTGGCCAGCCCAGCTGCCCTCCTCAAATTCCGAAAAGCCGATGAGTTGGACGGGTTTCTGGGAGCAGAGGAGTTGAGAAGGATAGGAGATATGGGGTAGGTGGGGAGGAGCCTCGCCAGTTGGAAAGGGTCATGGAGCCGCTCATAAAGTGGCCTTTGACAAGACTTGGAAGGCCCTACTTGAGGCTGGGGTCTGATGGGGGTCCGACCCACACATTTGGTCTGTGGGTCCAGGGCCAGGTGCCAGTCTCCCTGAGTGACCCAATAGGGGTCTCTTGGCAAAGATAACTATGGTATTATAGTCTCTGTGTGTGTGTGTGTGTGTGTGTGTGTGTGTGTGTGTGTGTCTGAGAGAGATTTAAAAAATATTTCTGAGTCCAGCCTGGTTTGGTGTTAGAAATCAGGCCTGGAGGCCAACATTGGCTTCCAACAATCTAGTTTTGGGATAGAAAATTAGAAGGTGTCTGGATTTAGTTGCTGGCAGGTGGAAGCTCTCCTCCTACCCACCTGCAAGGGTCCCAGTACTGGGGACAGGCAGAGACCTTTGGAGTATGGTGGCTAGAGGGTTGTGTTTTGTATTGTTGATGTGTTTGTTAAAGAAATTGATATTATTCTGACTTGTTCCCTAGGGATGCAAGTATTTCTCAGATCTAAAGAGGTGAGTGGGGAATCTGGGTGGTGAAAAGTCTCCCCTCACCTTGTGAAGGCCCTCAGCTTTCAGTCTAGGACTCACTTCCCTCCAACTCAATCCCCAGTTTCCCAGCTTAGTAAATTCAGTGGTTACTGGGAGCCTCAGGATGTTCCTTCGACAAACCCAAACGTCCCAGGTTTCCCAGATCCCCATTTTGGTCCCACTGCCAGCAACCCTAGCAGGTGGCTGGGTGAGCAAGTTTAGACAGAGCCAGCCTGGAGCTACGGGTGGGGGGAAATGGGGTTCGTCCTCACACTTTGGCTATCATCCCCCTTTTCTGGTCCCAGGAGGTATTGGGGGTTGGGAGGGGCTAGACTGTCATCTGGCTGCATCTTTTATGGTTCCTCATCGCCCTTCATTCGGAAATGAAACGCCTTTGATCTTTTTCTCAGGTTGTAAACGGAATTGCCCGTCATTAAATATCCGGGGCCCCATCTGCTTGGTCTCCTAGCATTTTTCTTTACAGCTGTTTCTCTCTCTTTTTACCATTGAATTTTTCCAAAAGGACTTTTATGACACCCCCTTCACACCCAGCCACCTCTCTCTCTTCCCTTTGCTGAGAGGCGCCTTGAAAAATATCTAGATATTCGTTTGATCGCAGACTAAAGGCTTCGAGAGGCGCGGAGTTACCGATTGGGGTTTTGTTTTTCTTAAAAAAAAAAAAGTAAAAGTCCTGGGGGGAGGGGAGGGGCGCGAGGGCACCCAGAAGGGCCTGGTTCTGACTACACCGCCCCTCCGCAGCCTCAGGATGACCCTTCCTCCTTTTGTGCTTAGCTAATGTTTACATCTCATAATTCATGCGCCGCGGAGAGTTGCGCAGCGGCCCGAGGTTCGCGTCCCCTTCGCGGGACCGGCTGCTTCTATCTCTCTCTAATAGAAGAGAAAGAGGGTTGAAAACATCGTAATCCCAAGAATGGACCCGCAGTGCCTTTTCCTGCTCCCAGAGCTCAAAACTAGAACAAAAACGAAATAAAATCAAAGCACTCAAACCACATCCCAAACGAAGAACGCTCGGAAAGTAGGAGGACTGGAAAATTTCTGGGCCAAGAAGATCTATCTGTCTTCTGTATATACCCTGTAGATCCGAATCTGTGTAAGGAATTTTGTGGTCACAAATTCGTATCTAGGGGAATATGTAGTTGACATAAACACTCCGC